ATTTAACAAAAATATTTTAAGGAAGAGTTACTCAGAAATGAACATACAATATAATCCTAGTAAATCATCTAACTTGTATTTTGAAGCTGACTTTAAAAATTATAAATATTTTCTCAACCTGAGCATCTGCTTTCACTCCATTTTTATTGTAAAGTTTGTGAACTTCTCTGTCCCTTTTCCTATCTCAAACCTATCATGTCCTTTGTGAGCTAGAACCCTCTGGTGGCTCCAGGGACCACAGAGCAGAAAGCCAGTGTCAGTGTGGGTAAGATCCCTTGTTCCCTGAGAGCTAAGTGTTCTCCCCACCTCAGTGCCCTTTTCGGGACCCACTGATGATGCCATCCAAGTAAACGGCTTTCCAGCCTCTGACGTGCTGGGCCTTCACATCTGTCTCCCTTCTCCTTTGTGAGCCCCCTAGGGCAGCCAGTGGTGTCTGTCTATCTTTATATGTGTCCCAGCATCCAGCACAGTGGGAACAAATACCCTAGGTTCTCCCTGACTCCTGGACACTGAGGTGCCAGTCGGGACTGGCCTGGCCAGCCACTGGGTCCTGGTTCCCTGAAACACCCTGTTGATCTTGCATTTTCTACTCTTAGGGCCACTAGTGTATCACACTGCAAACCTTCTCCCAAACAGCCCATGTATTACCTCACAGATTCTGTGAGGCAGGGCTCCATGCAGAGCTTGACTGGAGTCTCTGCCCAGGGTCTCACTGGGCTGTAGTTCAGCTGTTCTGGGTCTGCTTTCCTTTGGAGCTTGAGGTCCCTTCCAGCTTATTCAGGTTGTGGGTGGGATTTGGGTCCTTGCAACCATGGGGGTGAGGCCCTTGGTTCCTGGAGACAGCTCACAGTGAGCTCTTTGCATCCTTTTCTTCCATTTCTCTTCTGTGTTCTGCTAGCTCAGTACCCATCTACTTTGTCTGGCTTCTAATCTCTTTGTTGAGCAATAGTGTCCTTTCTCTAAGTTCTTTTTATTTTTAGAGATACCACTTGTAATTTCATCATTGTAATTTCTTTTTTAAAGTTAGGGGTAAGAAACTCAATGTACAGGCTCCTGGAAACAGTCTTTGAAGACTATCAGTGAGCTACTTTCAGATCAAGAAATCTAGAATTTTATAGACTTTGAATTTGTCCTCTGTAATGGATATATACCACCTCTAATTGACTAACAGTTTTAGTGTCCCACATTGTGAGTGTCACCTTCCCAAAGGAATTCCCACATTTCCTTTCTATGTTGATGGCAGGTCTTCATAGTAATTTGAGGAACTGAGAGCATACTAAGTTGCTTAGGTCCACTTCCCTCTGCCCCCACCTCCCTGCCTGGTTCCTGATTTGTGTTTTCTATTCTATTTCTCATAGGCCCTTGTATGGGGCCTGCCCCTATAGGAGAGCAGGAAAGGAGTGGGAAGGCAAGGAGAGCTGGGCCAGTCCTGGCCCGACTGCAGGTCAGTGTCCCGTAGCCAGCCCCTGCCGCATCCCTGCTGGAGTGCCTTTCTTACAGGTGGCCGTGGCTTCATACCTGAAATGCTGTGTTCCTCTCACCTCACCTTCCTCCACCTACAGGCAGCCCCTTCACCTGTCAGACTGGGTCTGTCCCCTGGTTCCCTCCTCTCTTCAAAACTGGTCAGCCCAGACCTGCAGAGGTGTAGGTACTTCCCAAGCGATAATTTAGGGATTCTTCTCAATGGTGTACATTCTTTATCCTCTTTGTGTGTTTTCAGTAGTTTAAGGAAAAAGAGCAAAAAGAAGTCCCCTTCCTTTTGTCTTTGACCAGAAGAGCTGCTTATTGTTAGGGAAAACAAGCAGGTTCTAGATAGGAATGTGGTTTTGTCACATCAGCACAATGAGGGCACAAGAAATTGACACCAAAACACACAGCTGCAGGGATTTTTCTGCAAGTAGCTGGAGGTTCTCCACCCCTGACCCAGAACAGTGGTTGACACCACCAGACGCAGTTTCATGCTGCTGACTCTATAGTTTTGTCTCCAGCATTGAAGAATACTCCACCTTGGACTGCACGTTGCCTGCCTGCTAGGACAGAGGAGCAGGAGCCCACATTTCCTGTGTTTCCAGATTCCTGAGCAGGAAACACTGGAAAAGGCAGAAGCCCAGTGTGTCCATGGAAACAAGCGCCCAAGGCCGAGGCCATAGGGCTAGGGTCCTACCAGATCCCGCAGAAGTGATCAGAGCACACAGAGGCAGGCCTGGTTGCCATACACCGCCACTACAAACCAGGTGACTCTCACGGGGGTGAGGTGCTGGTTGCAAACCAGGTGACTCTCAGGGGGGTGAGGTGCTGGTTGCACAAGCTCAGAAGCGAAGGTGGCCTCCCCCGAGCCTGGAGACCTGCCACGAAGCCTCTGCAGACGGGAGCCTGGGCAGCTGGGTTCACACAGAGCCCAGCGAGACCCAAGTCCCAGAGCCGCGGAGCGCTCCCTGCCAGAGGAAGCCGCACACGTGCGCCGAGTGCAGCCAAGCCTTCGGTCGGAGGTCGGACGTGCGAAAGCACGTGGGTCCACACCAGCGAGGAGCCCTTCACGCGCGCCGAGTTGCGGCCGCGCCAGCCAGAGCTTCGACCTCGCCCAGCAATGGCGGGTGCACACCAGGAAGCGGTCCCACGCGTGCGGGGACTGCGGCGCGCTTTCAGCAGAGCTCCTTCCGCAGCGAGCACCGCAGGATCCACACCCGGGAGAAGCCCTACGAGAGCAGCGACCGCAGCCGCGCCTCCCGGGCGCGGTCAGGCTTCCTCCAGCACCGCCGCGGGCACCAAGGCGAGAAATCTTTCCGCTGTGGCGAGTGCGCAAGGCCTTCGCCTAACTCCTACCTCCTCCAACACCGGCAGGTGCACTGCAAAGAGTGAGCCAGCGCGGGATCCCGGTCCTCCCTGTCCGGCCGCCTTCCCCAGAGGCCTTCACCCGCACCAGGCGCGCAGAGCGGGGGTGGAGGGCAGGGGGCTTCCCTGCTGTCCCGGGAGACACGGGCCCTGTGTGAAACACCGCCCAGAGAAACCACTGCGGCTCCAGGGGCCTTGCCCCAAAGGGAGCCTTAGGAGGGAAAGTCCTAGGCAGGGTTGCAACCCAGGGTCTGCCGCCCTGAAGCCTGATCTTGTACAGCCTCAGGCGAACAATGGCTTTTACATTGTTTAAGGGTTATTAAAAGAAAAAAGTTTAGCTGGCACAGAGCATATTCACTATCAGGCCCATTACAGGACCGTGTGTGGGCACCTGCCCGGACTTCCACTTTCAGACTCTTGCCTTTACTTGGTAGGAATGCAGCAGGCCTTTTGTGGTCCCTAGAAAGAAAAGAAAATTGGGACCCATAGGAGCCTGTGCATATCACTTGCCATATGAGTTCGCTGGCATGGCCAGTGCTGGCCTCTTCCTCTGGGTCATCTGAGAGCGTTACTCGTATGCAATTTAGTCTGTTTTGGGGCATAGAAATGAAACAACCTTTCCCCATATTTATACAAGCTTCTAAATATCTATACATATGCTTGTCAGGATCTAACTTTTTAAATAACATTTTTGACAAACCCATTTTTTCCTATGATATAAGCAGAGTATATTGTAGAAAATTTGCAAAATGGAGAAGAGTAGAAAGAAGAAAGAAATCACACTAGTTCACATCCCATGGAAGAAACGCAGTCTTTTAAGTTTTTAATAGCTATATAAAGTCTTTTTTCCTAAACTTTTTAGAATGGTTGGCATAGATTATATCCCTGGGCTCTATGACACTTTTTTTCTTTTTTTTACCCCATTCCTATTGAATTCATAGTGTTTATTTCTATGCTCAAGGATAATGTCTTTAAAAACCACAGTGTGGTTATCAAATTCAGGAACTAGAACGTGAAACAATGCCTTACCAAAGCCCATAGTCCAATTCCATCTTGTCCTACTGAGGTCCTTCATGGCACTGTTCTCTCCAATGCAGGATCCAGTCCCTTCTTTTAGCATGTCTCCTTAGGATCTTACACGTGGGTTAGCTCTTCAGTCTTTCTTTTGTCCCCAGAGATGGTCTATGAGTTGCAAAGGGAAAAATAGCAACTATACAGAGGAAAAACCAGACAACACTTTGACAACATAATCAAAATGATCACTTTTGCCGTGAGTCTGTGGAAGGCGGCAGGAGGCAGCGCTGACACCAGAGCAAGAGACTTCCATAGAAGGAAAACCTTGCAGAAGGTTATCAGGACTGTTTCCCTAAGGCTGTAGGAATGAGGGCGTCAAGGAGAGAGCCAGAGGCTCCCACAGCCACCGTCATTGGTGAGGAAATGCCCCGAGCATACAGAGAAGTGAGGGCCGTCTTGGGAATACACGTCCAACACGCATGGTCTGTGGCTGGTGCAGCAAAGTTTTCTCAGCCCAATGAAACATCAGAGCATTCATTCTGCAGAGAAGCCCAAAGATACAGCGTTTGGGGGACGCTCCATCCACACCTCCCGCGTCTTCAGCCCCAAGGAATCACACCCTTAAGGACCTGGGTCCTGCCCACAACCACGTGAGGCTGGAAGTGGGCCCTTCCCCGGGGGGCTTTGGATGAGCTTGTGAACGCGAGCAGAGGACCCAGCCAAGGCGTGCCGGGCTCCGATCCAGAGACCTAGGTGACGAATGCTGTGCGGTGACGTGTTGGCCTGCAGCAGACATCCACTCACACGGAAACGGGGACGCAGTGTCTCCGCGGCCCGCTCCCCTCCCCTCGCGCTGCCCGTCTCGGTGGCCGGGACGCACCCGCGTCCCCGCAGGGCCCGCTGTCCCGCGGTGGCGTCGCCTCCACGCGTCCGATCCGCAGTTGGCTTGTGCCAGACCCCGACGCGGCAGCTGCGCGACCTCGCCCCGCGGAGGCCGGGGTTCTCTGCGTGAGCAGGACTGGGCCAGGGCGACAGCGGAGCTGAGGATGCCGCCTCGGAACCGCCGGGGGACGCGAACCATGGAGCCGTCCCGCTCCTCCCAGGCAGCCGAGTGCGCTATCCTCCAGCGGCCCAGAGCGTCGCCGGAAGTGCCCGCGCTGCGGGGGCGGGGCCAGTGGCGCTTCGGGCGTGCTGCTTGGGTGGCAGGTGAGTGTCGGTGGGCGGACGGGACAGGCCGAGGAGCTGTCCCCGGGGATGTGTGGCCGCGAGTGGAGTCCAGCTGCCCTGGACAAGGCGTCTTCGCTGGCTTCAGTTGTCCGCGCGTCGGTTCCGGAGGGCGCGGCCGGCAGCGAGCGGGGCCCGCACTGCGACCAGTGGTCGCCTGGCAGCCCTCAACTCAGCCCGTCCTGGCCTTTACTTCCGTCCAGAGGAAGGGGAAGTAACCCTATAGGTAAATCTCTGCAGATAGCCGCGACTTCATGGCCAGGTAGCCTTCTGGGAGGGAGATCGCATCCGCCGTACTTTCTAAGGCCGTTGTAAGTTGTCAAATTACCCGCCAGCCAAGTACCCTTACCAGCCGTGTGCAAGAGTGCGTTTACCATAGTTCTTGGTTGTAAGAATCTTTTAAAAATCTACTTTCAGAGTAAAAAAGAGGCACTTGAAATTACTACCTTTCAGCCGGGCTCGGTGGCTCAGCCTGTAATCCCGCGCCTTTGGGAGGCTGAGGTGAGTGGATTGCCTGAACCCGCGGGTTCGAGACCCGCCTGGGCAGCGAGACCTCATCTCTACAATAAATCAAAAAAAATCAGCCGGGCGTGGTAGCACAGGCCTGTGATTCTGGCTACTTGGAAGGCTGAGGCGAAAGGATCGCCGGAGCCCAGCAGGTTGAGGCTGCGGTGGCCGGGAGAGACCACTGCACTCCAGTCTGGGCGACAGAGTGAGACTCCAACTCAAAAAAAAAAAAAAAAAATTACTACCTTTCTTTCTTTCTTTTTTTAAGTCATGGTCTCACTATATCACCTTGGCTAGAGTGCAGTGGCACCATCATAGCTCGCTGCAGGCTCAACCACCTGGGCTCAGGTGAGCCTTCCACTTCAGCCTCCTAAATAGCTGGGACTACAGGCATGTGCCACCACCCCCAGCTAATTTTTTTTTTTTTTTAGAGATGAGGTCCTGCCCCATTGCCTAGGCTGGTCTTGAACTTCTGAGCTCAAACAATCTTCCCACTTCAGCCTCCCAGAGAGACAGGATTACAGGTGTAAGCCACCACATCCAGACTTAAATTGCTTTTTTTTTTTTTTTTTTTTTAAGAAACAGGGCCTTGCTCTGTTCCCTAGGCTGGCCTCAAACTCATGGTTCAAGCAATCCTCCTGCCTCAGCCTTCAAATAGCTTACATTACATTTCTTAACTGCAAATGAAGTGGGACTTAAAGCATCTATTGCCTGCTTGTTTTCATACTGTCTCATTAATATGTAGTGGTCTTTATCAAGTAAGAACCTGAATCTTTATATTGCACATAAAAGAATATTTCCCTTTTAAAATATTTGTTTTTTACATCAAATCTTCTTATGTAGTTAAATCTGTCAGGCGTTACCTTTGATGTCATGCTTAGAAAATTCATTGCTCAATCCAAAATTGCACCACTCAAATAATTTGTTCTTAATTTTTTTATGTCTTTATATTCAAATCCTTATAATTATCCAGAAAATTTTAAAGCCTCTGGGAATTTCTCTAGACATCTGAGGACTGGTTGGAGGTGCTGAGCATGCTCAGGCAGCTAGCAGCTATGGCCATGACTACATGTACTCTGCATCTGTCCAGGGTTCAGGGGGTCAGCAGAACCTGAACCAGACTCCCCAGGGCATCCCACAGAACAGCAGCTTCTGGGGATGTCTGTTGAGTCAGCACTTTCTTGATTGCTGGTGACAGGTGGGCCCAACTAGGTGAGGCAGTGCCCTCAGGACTACCCAGGACCTCTTTTGACTCTCTCTTCTCTGAAGGTGTTCTGATCTCATTGTCCCCTCACCCCTCCTTATCTCGCCCTCATTGTCTTTTTTCCCCCTTTTTCTTGTAGGTAAGCAGAAATTGTTCCCACTGCTGGTGTTCTGCAAAGTGGAGTGAGGAGGAGAGGCCCCCAGGCCTGGGTCTTCAGATGCTAGGAGAGACGTAATGGAGACCCCCACAGGTGAGGGGACAGGTTGAAACTGCTGAGCATGCTCAGTGTGGAACTAGAAAGGAAGCCAGAGCAGGTAGTTAGCAGCTGTGGCTACACATACCCATGCTCTGTGTCTGCCCAGGGTCCAGGGGCCAGTGGTGCCTGAACCAGAGCCTCCAGCTATGAGAGGACACGTCTGTAATGAGGCCCAGAGGCATTGGGGCAAGATCCTCCTGGGGTTAGGGAGATGGAGACAGCTCCTCCCAAGTCCATCTGCCCAGCTGCTAAGGGAATATGGTGGGCTCAGGTAGCACTGCTCTGCCACAGCCTCTCCTCTGTCACCACCCTCTGTACCTTCTACTTGCTGGTCCACCTCTTTCTGCTCCATTCCTGGTGCCTCTGTCAGGTGCTCTCCTAGCTATACACTGTGCCTCTTGCTCTCTTTCTCTGGTTTCCCACCTGCTAGCCTGGAGATTTCTGAGGATGAGTATATTAATATCTGACTTTGTTTGTCCAGTGCCCAGTAGTGTCAGCTGGCATACCCTCAGAGGAGATGACCAGGAAGAGTTTAATGAGAGAGAGTCCTGGCAGCCTCCCATCCTTTGTGTGTTTGCCCTTGCAGGCTCCCTGTATTCTGAAAGGTTTAAGGCCACATTTGAGGGTCATCAAAGCTGAGGACTCATACTTATTATTATTGTGCTGTTATTACATTAGTATATAACTGGCCCTAACAATAATGCCATCTTCTCTTACCAAAGAAATGTGCACTTTTTGAAGTATTTTCACACTCATGCTCTATCTGATGATTCTTGTTCAGCAGTGGGAGACTGTGGCTACCCAGAGCACACATGCACCCCGATACACCTTGACCTGTGTCTCCCATGAGTTCAAAGAAACCCCCATTCCATGCACAGACATATCATCTCTGGAGAATGGGAGGAAACAGCCCACAGGGAGCCATTCTTCAAACCCAGGGCTTCCAGGCCCAGCCTCTCCTTCCTTTCATGTCCAGGTCCAGTCCAGATGGGACTTTTCACAGTCCTGCAACTTTGGGCTGAGTGACAATTTTAGCAGGTGCCAACATACACGGAATGGTGGAGGAAAAGGTTAATCCAAAACAACCCGTTTTGAATACAGGGAAAATAACACATCTCAGTTGCTGGTGCAGAGCCTGTACTGTGTCCTTGGAAGCAGGGTGAGGGAGAGAAATGAATGATAAGCCCATCAGATCTCCTGGGTCTCCATTTGGTGCCTGTCTTTGCCAGTCTTTTTGGTTAGAAAGTCTGGCAGCCCCAGGTTGCCTCTGAGAAGATTTCTGTTAAGGCCTCTCAGCCCGGGCACTATGGCCATTTTGGGATGGATGAGTCTTGTTCAAGGGCCTGTCCTGTGCATTGTGTGTTCATTCTTTGCCTCTGCCCACCTGATGCCAGTAGTGCCCCTCTCCCAGTTCAACAACCCAAAATGTCTCCAAACATTGTCAAAGATGCCCTCAGGATAGAATTGCTCCATGAGAACACGGCTTTATGTTTTGGGCCCCTTGGGGCCATCCTGAGAGTTTGTCACTGGGGAGGAACCTCTGCACAGGGCTGGACAGTGCAGGGGCTGCCTGCTGGAACCTGGGATTCCTGAGGGAAGGAGTCCTCAGGACCAGAAGGCCTGATCCAGTAGAGCTCGAGAGATTGTATGTGGCCCTCCTCTCATTACAGTTTTGACTAACTCTTTTTCTTCATAAACAATATTTTTGAGTCAGTTCTTGAACTTCCAAGTCTGCCAAACTACAAGACCAGGGTTGGAGGCTTCTGTTCTGAGCACCCTCTGGGGCCTCTCCCCACCTTCTGCTGCTCAGTACAATGACCTCGTGCTAGGGCACAGGTGGGAAACATCGATGGCGGGCTGCCTGCTCTGATCTGTCCTGGATGTGCCTCTGCCCTCAGCCCTGCCCACATGAGAGTTTCCACCACATCTGCACAGTTTACGTTTCTGTGAGGGGTACAGTAGAGAATTTAGCTGCTGCAGTTTGTCTGCTGCAGATTGTTGTCTGTAAGTGGAAGAATCTCCCTTAACTTGGTTGATGTACTTGCCTTGACAGTCCTTTTCCCTTTGTTATGCCACTTGTTGTTGAGCTTTTGTCAACCATCCAGCATTCTGATGCCCCAGTGTTTTGCCACCACTTCCCTAAAGTTTTGTGTAAATGGCCACGTGTTCTGTCCCTGTGAGCCAGCAGGACCAAATTTAACTAGCAGCTTCACTGCCAAACAACAAGGACCATTGATGCCCAGACTGGATGGGGCCGCCCCTCAGCCTGGCCTACGCCATGGCCCCTGATGGGCTGCTACCTACAGCTGTTGATACAGCTTCTGTCTGACTAAGGACTCTCTTATATGCACATAACAGAACCCACTCAAAAGTTTGATGGGTTGGGGGAGCCATTAAGGATGCAGTGTTATGTCAGTGAGTCCAAGGTCAGAGAAATAAGCTGGAACCAGGACGTGAGCCTGATACATCTGCTTCCTTTTCATTCTGTTATGCTGCCAACAAGTTTCCTATGCTTTCCAGGCCATCTGGCAGCATAAGGAAGTACCCAGAGTTTGTGCTTTTATCCTTCCTGACTGGGCAGGCTGAAGCTAGAGGCTTAGCCCTATTTCTGAAGTCACAGTGCAGGATTCTAGTTAGCCTTCCGCAGCCCCTCATCCACCCTGTAACCACAGTTGTTAAGAAGGTTGGAGAGGAAAATTGGGTGGGGACTGGATGGCACACTGATATCACTGTCATCACCATGAGTTGTCATCACCATGAGTTGCCAGGGCCATCCTAGACTCACATGCTGCTTTCCATCGTGTAATGGTTTGTTATATCTAAACTTGTCTGACCTCTGCTTTTCTAGCACAGGCCTCGAGTGGCAGCCAGGCCACCAAATGTGCCATCTCAGTTGTAGAGCAAGCAGCTCGGAGCACACGATTGACACCAAAGCAGGAGACTTCAGAGGGAGAGAGCCATGGAGAGGCTGTGCCAGCCCCATTGCGGGACTCTCCCCAGGCACTGGGGTCTCTTGACCTTTGTGAAAATGAGGAAACTGGAAAGAGGTCCAGAGATGCCCCTTGGGGCCCAGTCATTTGTGAGAAAACTGGGAGGCAAAGTGGCCACGAGAATGGTGTGCCCAAGCCAGACGGCTCTCTGAACACAGGTGCTGTGGCAGATCAAAGAGGCCAGTGGAAAGGGCGGCCTTATCAATGCAACACCTGTGACCGGAGCTTCAAGTGCTATTCAGATGTGGCAAAACATCAGAGCATCCATTCTGGAGAGAAACCCTATGAATGCAGTGACTGTGGTAAAGCCTTCATCCACAGCTCACACGTTGTCAGACACCAGCGAATTCACAATGGGGAGAAACCTTATGTTTGTAAAGAGTGTGGGAAAGCCTTTAGCCAGAGCTTCAACCTCATTCGACATCAGAGAATTCACACAGGAGAAAAACCTTACGAATGTACTGAGTGTGGCAAGTCCTTCAGTCAGAGGTCAGATGCAATCAAGCATCAGAGAATTCACACTGGAGAAAGACTATATGGATGTAGTGAATGTGGGAAAACCTTCATTCACAGTTCAAACGTTGTTCGGCACCAGAGAATTCACCATGGGGAGAACCCATATGCGTGTAAGGAATGTGGGAAGGCCTTCAGCCAGAGCTCCAACCTCATCCAGCACCAGAGGGTGCACACTGGGGAGCGGCCCTACGAGTGCCAGGACTGCGGCCGCGCCTTCAGCCGCAGCTCCTTCCTTAGTGAGCACCGCAGGATCCACACTGGGGAGAAGCCCTATGAGTGCAGCGACTGTGGGCGTGCCTTCCGGGCGCTGTCAGGCTTCTTCCGGCACCAGAGGATCCATACAGGGGAAAAGCCTTTCCGCTGCACTGAGTGTGGCAAGGCCTTCCGCCTGAGCTTTCATCTGATCCAGCACCGGCGGGTGCATGGCACCGAGTGAGCCTGTGGTGGGGGACTGTGGAGCAGAAGAAATGGGTGAACAGGATTGCAGGGGTGGGTGCAACACTTACTGGAGTTCGCCCACAGGCAGAGGTTTGTGTACTCATTCCACGTGCAGTAAGGAAAATAATAAAGCTGTCTCAGTGGTTTAAATGCTTGCCTCTGTGAAAGCCTGAGTCTGCCTGTCTGTACCCTTGCTCAGGAGCAATCAGAAGAGAAAGGTCTTAGAAAAGGCAAGTGTTTCAGGTGGGAGTGCAGGTTTTCCCAAAGGAAAGGTGGAAATGTCCAGTCCTAGGCTGGACTGCCTGTTGTTTACAGGTTGCCTCGGGCAGCACCGTGCACCCCCTCCTGAGTGCTCTCGCCTCTCATACACAGTCAACTGCAATGAAGTTCTTTCATTTTCACAGTCTTGGTGGTGGTTTTCCCTGAGGTATAATTTATATACCAGGAAACGCATAGATCTGATGTGTTCAATTATGGGTTTTGACAGACAACCTGTTTTGACCTTTATACCATGCTATCCAGATATACACTATTTTCATTACCCTAGAAAGTTGCCATAGACTAGCTAGGCATGGTGGCTTACGCCTATAATTCCAGCGCTCTGGGAGGCCGATGCAAGAAGATCACTTGAGCCTAGGAGTTCAAGGCTGCAGTGAGCTGTAGATCACACCACTGTACTCTAGCAGTGAGTGAGTACAGAGTGAGACCCTGTCTGCTAAAAAACAATAACAACAAGCCGGGCTCGGTGGCTCAGCCTGTAATCCCGCGCCTTTGGGAGGCTGAGGTGAGTGGATTGCCTGAGCCCATGGGTCGCGACCCGCCTGGGCAGCGAGACCTCATCTCTACAATAAATCAAAAAAATCAGCTGGGCGTGGTGGCGCATGCCTGTAATTCCGGCTACTCGGAAGGCTGAGGCGGAAGGATTGCCGGAGCCCAGCAGGTCGAGGCTGCGGTGGCCGGGAGCGGCCACTGCACTCCAGTCTGGGCGACAGAGTGAGACTCCAACTCAAAAAAAAAAAAAAAAAAAAAAAAAAAAAAAACAACAAGAAAGTTCTCATAGACCCCTTCAAGTCAGTCCCCTCATCCTCAGAGGCAGCCATTGCTATTGTGAATTTCAGTCACTGTAATCCCTTTTGCTTGTTCTAGCACTTTATATAAACAGAATAGACTTTTATGTCTGACTTCTTTCCCTCTGCTAATGTTCTTGAGATTTATTTATGTATCAGATTTTTCATCTTGTTTAGTTCCATCACACTTTTTAAGAGTCAAGAGTCACTTTCTAGCTTGTATCAGAGTTGTATGCTCTGTTTCTCCATCAATGTCTTGAAATCCTTGTAGCCAGAATTATTTCAGCACAGCCCTGGACACAAAGTAGGCAATGCACAAAAGTAAATGAAATATGCAAGGTTGTACGGTGGTCATGTCTCACCAAACAGCCAATATCTCGAGCATACCCTGAGAATGGCCCTATGTTCCTTGGTGAATGTGTGCATTTGGTGTTCTAAGGTATGGACTTCGGGTACAACCAGCTTGGATGTTTATGCCATACCTATGAAGAACATCTGGACCCTGGCCTGTTCCTTGGGATGCTGCACATGCAAGGAACTGAGGCCCTTTGTTTTGAGCTACGTGGAGGTTGCTATGCAGAGGTTGCTATGTGAAAGTGACTATATGACCATGCTTGTCACAAAGGGAAGTGGTTTTTTTCCCTGACAAGCGGCTGCCCCTAGACTCCCTGCATGTAAGTCTCCAATAAACCCTATGTCTCCTCCAGTGTCTCTGGGTCTTTTCTTTGGCCTCTTGAACACTGTTATGTCCTGGTTGGATTTACTAGGGTTCTAGCATGACAGGGGGAGTATCATGAAAGAGGTACAGAAGAAAGACCCTAAGACTTGGCTGGAAGGAGCTGGTCACTTTTTTCCCACCATTTTGGAGTATGCAGCTTGCAAAACTGCTCAGCTCTTGAAGGCAGTACAGGAAAATGAGGTCCAAGGTACTTGTATGAAATTTCAACCTGTGTTTGTTTGGCACCTACTTATCTGGGTGCTGCATCACTATTCTAAGGGAAGCAAGTCCACCATGTCTGTTGTAAACCAAAAATAAAAACAGGTCCCTCAACTGACTCAGCAGATCCCCTCTGGGCCAAGGGAAACCTGAAAAGCTAAATCTCAGCCTATGATGGAAAAGGAGGTCAGTCACCCCTTGTTGACCCCCTCCCTTGTGGAGTCGAGGCACAGCATTAATATCAAAATATTGCAATCATGGCCAGGCATGGTGGCTCAAGCCTGTAATCCCAGTACCTTGGAAGGCCGAGGCAAGAGGACTGCCTGAGCTCAGGGGTTCGAGACCAGCCTGGGGCAACTTGGTGAAATCTCGTCTCTGAAATACATTTTAAAAATAAGCTGGGTGTGGTAGTGCATACCTGTATTTCCAGCTACTTGGAAGGCTGAGGTGGAAGGACTGCCTGAGCCCCTCAGATCAAGGCTGTGGCTGATGTGAGACGTCAACTCAAAAAATTTTATGAGAAGGAACCCAAAGAAACCCCAGAATTATCTTTGGAGGGCAGACCCCTTGTAGTACAATCATAATTTGTTCCCTGGATCAGTAAACCGAAGTTTTTATCTAGAAGTTTGACAAGATTGCATCATGATTTGTGGAAGAAACTGAAAGGTAGTACTTATAGAAACCTAGAAGAAACTTAGCTTATTTAGTCTTTTTGCCTTAGCATAACCAATAGAAAGTGTTCAGACATTCCACTGTAGGACAAGCAGCAGCCTATCCCATCCCCCTGGGCAAATCTCCATCTGATGCAAGACTAGGACAGCCCAACCTTTCAGTTCATGGTTTAGCACAATAATCTCTAGTAAACTTTTAGGTTCCTTGTCAAAGATCACCCTTTGACTGGCCAAAGTCATAAAAGTGATAATACACTACCTTTGGTCAAGGAGTTTGTGAACTGCAAATGTCTAACAAGTCTCTTGCAGGAAAAACCCTTCCAGGCCCAAACTCCCCAAGTTAACCTAATCATCCCTTTGTGACCTACATGACACAGATAAACTCCACCATGGCAGCAATCATGTGTCTAACCCACCCATCTGCTTGCTGTCCATCACCTGACATCAGTACCTGCGTTTGTCTGCCCCTTTGTGATGACGTGGAGCAGACCACCACCCAATCACCTTAATGATCTTCCCCCATCAAGGGGAATGGTTAAAAGGACGCAACCACAAGCAGCCAGCAGCCACTGCCTTGCTAGACTCTGGTATGGCCGTGTGCTCTTTGAGTTATGGCTGTCACCACGCTTCCTGGCTTTGGCCCCCTCCCCCACCTTGGGGAGGTGAATCTTCTCTCTCCCTTCTCTTTCTCTAATTTACTTTTAAATAAACTTTTCTTCCTTTGCCTCTGTGTGTGTTGCAATTCTTTGCATTACTCGGATCTCTGGGTGTCAGCAGGCACCTCTGGCACGCCAGCTCTGGCGGTGTTGTGCCCCTCTCCATCCATCCATCCACCCTCACCCTATCCATACCCTAACAGAAACATCCCAAGCTGTGGCAAACAGGTGTCCCTCCTTATTCACCCAAACTCAATCCAAGCACCTTTATTTTTGTTTCCCCAGATGAAAAATGTCCTCAAAGGGAAACGTTTTGCTAATGTGGAAGAGGTAAAAAAAAAAATATGACAGAAGTACTAAAAGGTATCAAAATTGACAAGTTCAAAAAGTGTTCTGAAAAAGCATCTCAATAGGTGTATTGCATCAAACAGAGAGTACTTTGAAGGTGACCGAAGTTTAAACATGAGTCCCCAGGGGCAGCAGCATCCCAGCGAGTCAGCCATGATGGGAATAAGTTATGCCTAGAGCACCCAGAAGCCACCACATTGGTGTGGAGGCTCAGCCTCTAGGGGGCCAGTGTCCTCTGGCTGACCAGGGGTCTCAAACAGGGAGCTGGGCACTGCCTTGCAGGGATTCTGATGGGATGGATGGGAGGCCCAGGGAGAGCATCCATGTGAGAGACAGCTGTGGAAGCAGCCCTGAGGAGCAAAGTGTTGAGCAGAGGGACAGCTTAGAAATAGGAGATCTGGAAGGATATAGGGTTACGAAACTGAGGCAAAAGGCCATCATAATCACAGTTGAGAGCTATGAAGAGCCTGGGTGAGATGGGAACTGAAAAGCAGCCACTGATTTTAGTGACCAGGCAGCACGTGTGGACCTGCTGAGAGCCCCAGGAGAGGGGTTGGGGAGAGGTAGGGGAAGGGAAACTGAAGTATTTGGTGAGGGGATGAGGCCCCTGGGGGGAGTGGGGAGAGGGTGGGTGAGCAGATGTGGAATCCTCCCCCAAGGGCCCTCAGCCTCAGAGTCCACAAAACATAGCTTCTCTTCTTCCCTTAAGCAGGAATCATGGGTCCTGGCTGGAATGCTAATGGGATATGAGAGTCGAGAATGCTGTACAGGCGGAGGGACAGAGCTTCAAAGGACAGGACAGGTATCAGGGACTTTTTCTATAAAGACACAACAAATGTGCAAAATATTTTATTGTGCAAAATTCCCCAATATTACTTTAACAGTGAAAAAAACACAAAAGAAGTTTCAAGAGAGACACAGTGGTTAAAATTCAAAGTCCTCGCCTGCCATGTCGAGAGCCCAGGCGAACTTCTCCCTCTGCGTCTTGTTGTAGATCTTCTCCACAGGCACCCCAAACCTCTTACACCTGCAGAGAGGACAGTGTCACCACGAACAAGCCAGTTGCTTGCCCACCTTGAAGGCCAGGTGCTCATGAAGAGCACAGGCAGCCTTGGCCTAGCAGAAGATCAGAGCGGCTGTGTGTGGCCCGGACCTGCTTCTCCTGGGCAACCTGACCCCACCCTTGCGGGTGTCAGGGAGGCATCAAAGACCACACCTGCTATGGCCCAAGTGTCCACCAGGTGGGGCACCTCCCACTCTCAGTGGGCAGGCTAAGCACATGGGCATTCCTAGTGATTCCATGTCTCAAGTCACTGCTAGCCCCCATCCCAGCTTCACCCTGTCAGTCCCTCAGGGGAGAGAGCTATGACACAGGATTCAGTATCAGGGGTCCCTGTCACAGAAATTATCTGTGCTGACTACGGGGAAGCACATGGGATGGGGGGAAGAGACACTGGGTGGACTGAGCTAGGGTCTCCTGGAAAATCCAGGCCCTTCCCAAGGCCACACATGGGAACTGTGGACTCAGGCTCACATACCAGGCGATGCTGATCCTGGGGTCCAGGTAGTTGAGCTTGGACGTGCCCAAGGCCACCTGCTTATTTTCCTCCTTGTCTGTGGCCTGTGTGCTCAGCCTGGCCAGCTGCTCCTGAAGCTTCTCTAGCAGCCGCCTCTTCTTCTCCAGGGAACTGGCAAGAGAAGACGAGGACTTAAGACTCTGTGTTGGTCCCCAAGGAGACCTGCACATCTCCCACTGCCCCCCACCCAACCTCATAGATGTAATCCTGTCATCATCATCAGTCATCATGGCAAGAGGTAAGAAAACTAGACAGGATCAAAGGTCAAAGCTGAGCCTTGACTCCTAGCCCAGCTGCCACATCAGACACAGACCAGAAACTGAGCCACTGAAGAGGGCCCTCGGCTGAAAGGTGAAGTGGTCCAGCCAGACCTGACTGGTAAAATCCTTACTACAGTAGACAAAGGCTGAGGCAAAGGACAAGAACAGGCCCCAAAAAACAAATACAAATCCTTTTCAACATTTGAGAAAATGCTCAACCCTTCTTCCTATATTTTTAAAGGAAAGCGAAGTTTAAAAAACAGGCGCTCCTTTCACATTTGTCTTACCTACAGATGCTATGACATCACCAATGCACATGACCTTTAACCCCAACCCTTTTCTAGAAACTTGTGCTACAAATACACCTGAACATGTGTACATGTGGAAATGCTGCCACACAGGGGGAACAGCCCACTGGGCCTAAAGTACAGGGCCCTGGTAAGTGGCTCTCTGTTCCAAAGCTGTAAAAACATGAGTCACATCTTCAGGGGCTGACAGAGAAAATGAAGACACCAAGATGCCAAGGGTTAGGTGGGATGATATATATGTGAAAAAAGGAGGAGGGAAAAGCAGAAGATCAAGCCAGCATGCACATGTAGGGTATTTCTAGAAAATACATAAGAAATCTCACAGCAGTTGCCTCTGGGGAACTAGAGGTCAGGATGGATGACAGCCTTATTTTTCACTGAATACTCTTGGTCTAATTGCTTGATATTTCTCTCTCTCTCTCTCTCTCTCTCTCTCTCTCTCTCTCACACACACACACACACACACACACACACACACAATTAAAAACATACCTCTTCACTTCAGGATGCTTGTCTTAAAGGGTAAAAAAAACTTTACCCTTTAAGAACCACAGCCATAGCAAGCAGGAGTGAAAGAGGGAACATGACTACAAAAAAGGATGATATGGAAATAATATAAATAATCAAACACCAACATATTAGATGACCTATATGAAATGGACATAATTCCTAAAAAGATACAAACTATCAAAACTGACTCAAGAAGAAACAGAACATCTGAACAGAACTAAAACAAGTGATTGAATCAGTAATTAAAAATTCCCAAAGAAAGCTCAGGTCTAGATGGCTTCACTAGTGAATTAATTTAAAGAAGAATTAACCCTAGCCAGGCATGGTGGTACATGCCTATAATCCCAGGTACTTGAGAGGCTGAGGTAGGACAATCACTTGAGCCCAGGAGTTTGAGACCAGTCTGGGCAACACAGTGAGTTTCAAAAAAAAAAAAGATTTAACACCAATTCTTCACAAACTTTCACAAAACATTAGAGATAGGAACACGTCCCAACTTACACCATGAGCAGCATTATTTTGATACCAAAACCAGACAAAGACATCACAAGAAAACTATAGACTAAGAATATCCTTGATAGAGATGCAAAATTCCTCCCCAAAACATTAGCAAAAAGGATGACAATATAACCAGGTAGGATTTATCCCAAAAATGCAAGGATGGTTTAACATCTCAAAATTAAGTTATATAATACATCATATCAATATAAAAAAAGGGACAAGAAATATGATCATCTCAGTTGCAGAAAAGGCATTTAACAAAATCCAACACCCTTCATAATAATAATTTTAAAAATCCTCAACAAACTAGGAATATAGGATTGAACTATGTTAACTTAACAAAGAGCATCTATAAAAAACCTACAACCAATATCACAGTCCATGGTAAAAGAGTGAAAGTTTTGTTCGCCAAGATCAGGAACAAGGCAAGAATGTTCATTCATGATTCTTGTACATAACACTATTGGAGGTTCCTGTCAGGACAACAAAATGAATACAACAGACTAAAAAAAAAAAAAAAAAAAAAAGAAATAAAAAGGCATCCAGATTGGAAAGGAAGCAGTAAAACCATCTCTATTTGCACACAACATGCCCTTGTATATATAAAATTGTAAGGAATCCACTAAAAAACAACTAGCAATAATAAACAAGTTCAGCAGGGTTACCAGATACAAGATAGATAAACATCAACTGTATTTCCATACATTAGTGTAGAAAAAAGAGTTAACACAGCAGAACTGATCATCCTTAGAAAGGGCTTCTTACAAGGTTGACCCTTGGCTGGTGTCTGAAACTGGATTTTGGGAGGGTTTTCACCACCCTAACTAGTAGGAGTAGTTCACTGTGCCTAAGATATCTGTACAAACAATGTGATTTATGCTGAATACTTGCTCTGCTTCTGGGAGTCTGGAATCTTGATAGGTGAAAAGCAGGTGAGTGACTAGCCCCGATAAAGACCCTGGGTGCTGCCAGGCATGGTTCATGCCTATAATCCCAGCACCTTGGGAGTCTGAGGCAGGAGGATCATTTGAGGCCAGAAGTTTGAGACCATCTTGAACAACACATTGAGACCCTGTGTTGGGTTAAAAATTAAAATTTAATTGGGTGTGGTGGCACACACCTATATTTCCCGCTATTTGGGAGGCTGAGCAGGAGGATCACTTGAGCCCTGGAATTTGAGGTTGTAGTGGGCTATGATCAAGCCACTGCACTCCAGCCTAGCCTATAGAGTGAGATCCCAACTCTTAACAAAATTAACATAATATTTTTTAAAATCTTGAGTGCTGAGTCTCTAATGAGCTCTCCTGGTAGACAGCATTTCACGCCTGTTGTCACAGCTTATTGGTGAGATAAATTAAGCATGCACTGTGTGACTCCATATGCTTGAGCCTGATTTTCTTCAAACATTTTCTTTGCTTTACACACTTTTCACTTTGCTGGTTTGATATCTTTTTGCTGCAATAAATCACAGCCATGAGTATGCCCTAGGTCCTTGTGAAACATCAACTTGGAGTGGTCTTGGAGACCCTAACACAGCAAAAGCGGGATTCACTGGAACCCTGGCTCACTGAAACAAGGACAAAATATTATTTGGGAAGAGGAAAGAGGAAGGAATGATGACACACCTGTGATGCCTAGTAGGCTCTGGACTCACCCATGGTGCAAGCAGCAGCAGGGCTGCTGTGTGTGGTGGAGGGTAAAAGTTATCCCTGGAATTGGAAACAACAGAGTTAACCCCAAGAGAGTGGGCTCATCAGACACTGGCTGCTTCTGGCTGCTCAGCTCACGTGTGGGGCAAAAAGTACAGCCTAGGTGACGCCTTGGGTTTCTGTTCTCTTCTGGGCAGGTGGAGAAAGGGCCTACAAATTCCCAACAGTGAGCTTTGGCAGGGCCAAAAAATGTTAAAAGTTTGCATTCCTCTTCCAAGTAGGGAAAGAAGAAGTTAACTCAGTTCCCAGGCCTGCGACACATTTTAAAAGAGGCTTTAGCTGCTGTTGCCATCTTCTCCTTCCCCAGCAGCAGTAATATTAACCCTATAAAGACTAAACACTATTGGGAGTTAAGTAAATTTGCAATGAGAAAAAAGGAGGCTGGCAGCCAGATGTGGTGGCACATGCCTGTCATCCCAGCACTTTGGGAGGCCGAGGTGGGAGGATCGCTTGAGGCCAAAAGTTCGAGATGAGCCTGGATAACAAAGCAAGATTCCATCTTTACAAAAAAAAGGGAAAAATTAGACATGGTGTGCGCCTGTAGTTTCATTTACTCAGGAGGCTGAAGCAGGATCACCTGAGCCCAGGAGTTCAAGGCTGCAGTGAGCCATCATGCCACTGCATTGCAGTCCGGGTGACAGAGTAAGACCCTGTCTCAAAAAAAAAAAGAAAAGAAAAGTAAAACAAAAAAGGGGAACTTTTAAAATGACTGTGGCTGTTACATCTGGATGTGTAGTAAAAAATGAATACAATGTTAAAAGCTTGTAATTTCATAAATGCTACAGGGATCATCCTTATCAGAAAAGCTGCTTGTGAGGAGCAGGCCACAACCTCCTTGCTATTATGGTTGGTGGATGGTTAAATTAAAACCAAGTGACAGAAAGAGAAAACGACTCCATAAATGATGGTGTTTACTGTGATTTGGTCTATTGGAGCCTCTGGGAAAAGACAGACAACATGTAAAAAAGAGGCGCTCTCCAAATGGAGATACAAGCTAGCATCTCAAAAAGCAGGGCTGGGATGCTGGTGGGCTCCTGTGGGTTCAGCTCCTGCTGACCATGAGGCTGGGGACTCTCCAGCCTGGTGTGTGTTTTTTTGAGTGGTTCAATTTCAACTCTAAGAATGCTAAGGTAAGGAGGGCTAGAGACTTGGACTTGTAGCATCTCCACTCTGCTGCTGCAGAAGAAAAGGCTCTGGTCTGCTTGGAATCTTGAATTCACAGATCTTCAGTGTCTGGACCTGAATGTAACTGAAACCCAACAGTGTCGGCCATGGGCCATGGGCAGCTGCAGCACCAGCACGTGGAGTGCAACCAAAGGCTCTGAGGCCAGGACTCACACTCAGCAACTGCTGCAGATTTTGTACTCTTCTCTGGAGCCTAAGCCATGAAGCCACTGTGGTAGCTGGCTGGACCATCTGGGTCACCTGCAGGTGCCCAAGGGAAAGGGCTTGTTCTCTGATTGAGCCATCAGAAATGAAGTGTGGTTGGCTGTGTATTTGTGGTGCAGAAACCGATGGCATTCCTGGCATGTGAATGCTGCAAATGCTGCCACATTGTTGATCCCCGACAGATGGGACTCCCGATCCCTCAGGGTATCTGCTGCTTGACTTCAGTTTTTCTGAATCAGGTGTAATTTGCAGCACTGGGCAGAGAGTCTGACTCTTGTAATCACCTTTGTCCTGGTGAATCAGTGTGGCTGTCACACACAGCTGTCTCCAGATAGGGGACTACCCACTAAACAAACAACCAGGAGAAAACCCCAAGGAGGGGAGGAGGTAGTTCACATAAACCCACAAACTTCTGTGAAAATTCATGATTGCATCTGTTTCATGACCTTTCTGGTTATGTTTTTCTGAGAAAATGCTTTTTATTTCTCTTACACACAGCCCTTCCAGATGAATGGTCTAGGTGAGAAAAAAGAATAGCTGAAGAAATGAAAAGTTACAATAACTGAATGTGAACACTGATTTTATAATAATGGGGGACAAAAGCCCCAAAACATGAGTGTAGGGGAGGACAGTAATGATCTCTGAAACCACAAAGTTATAATACAGTTACTCAACTGGACTGGGAGCCCAGAGCAGTGGAAGAGGACCCTGTAGGCCTTCCTCTGGATTTCACCACATAGGCCTTTTCCCTTTGCTGGTTTTGCTTTGTGTCCTTTTGTTGTAGTACAGCTTGGCAATAAGAACAGCTATATGCTAAGTCTGTTGACTCCCAAGAAAACTGGCAATGAATAATCCAAAAATGAAATTTTAAAAATTCAATTTACAATAGCATCCCCAAAATAAAATATGAATAAACCAAAAAAGGGAAAAACTAGGGCCAGGTGAGGTAACTCATGCCTGTAATCCCAGCATTTTGGGAGGCCAATGCAGGAGGATTGCTTGAACCCAGGAGCTCAAGAGACCAGCCTAGGCAACATGTGAGACCTCGTCTCTACAAAAACAAACAAACAAAACCCCAAAATTAGCCAGGCATGGTGGCACATACCTGTAGTTCCAGCTAACTGGGAGGCTGAGGCAGAAGGCTCACCTGAGCCCAGAAGGTCAAGGCTGTGATGAGTTGTGACTACAGCCTGGGAAATACCATGAGACTCTGACTCAAAAAAAATTTTGTAGTGTGTGCTTCACATGACACCACCACAAAAATACAAAGAAAACCCCCAGAATGAGAGAAACATTTGATGGGCTCTTATAACTCAGTAAAAAGACAAACAATCCAACTAAAAAATAGACAAAGGACCTAAGCAGACATTTCTCCAAAGAAGACACACAAATAGCCAACAAGCACCAGAAAGGACACTCTACATCAGTCATCATGGAAATGAAATTCAAAACCACGATAAGATGCCACTTTACACACACCAGGCTATAATCAACAAAATAAAAAATAAATAACGGGCAGGTCGGGATGTGGAGAGATCAGCACTCTCATGCACTGTAATGGGAATGTGAAGTGGTGTAACCACGGTGGGAAAACAGCCTGGTACTTTCTTAACATGTTGGCCATGATCCCAAAACATACAAAGACTTACACCCAAACACCGATAGCATCATTACTCAATGTCATCAAGAGGTGGAGACAACCCAGTGTCCATGAAGGCATGATTGGACAAACAGTGTGGCCAACCATACAGTGGAATGTTATTTGGCCATAAAAAGGAATGAAGTTCTGATAGAAGCTATCAGAAGTAGGTAAACCCTGAAGCACCATACTCAGTAAAAGCAGCCAGATACATTTCTTCTCTTCTTTTTTTTGAGTCAGAGTCTCACTCTGTCACCCAGGTTGGAGTGCAGTGGCACACTCATAGCCACGACAGCCACGACCTGCTGGACTCAGGTGATCCTTCCGCCTCAGCCTTTCAAGTAGTTGGAACTACAAGCACACATCACTATGTTTGGCTAATTGTTTTATGTATTGTAGAAATAAGGTCTTGCCAAGTTACCCAGACTGGTCTCGAACCCTTGGACTCAGGCAATCCTCTCGCCTCTTGCCTCTGCCTCCCAAAGTGCTGGGATTACAGGCATGAGCCACCGTACCTGAGTAGACACATTTCTATGAAATGCCCAGAGTAGACACACTTAAAAAGACAGAAAGTAGATGAGTAGTTGCCTAGGGACTAGGGGGAGCAGGTGGGGAGGGACTACTGGGTCTGGGGTTCCTTTTTGGGGTGATGAAAATGTTCTAAAATTATGATGCTAGTTGCACACCTCTGAATACGCTAGAAATCCACTGAGCTGTACACTTTATTTACTTATTTATTTTTGAGTTGGAGTCTCATTCTGTCGCCCAGGCTGGAGTACAATGGCATGCTCACGGCCATAACAGCCTTGACTTACTGGGCTCAAGCGATCTTTCTGCCACAGCCAAGTAGCTAGAACTACAGGCATACGCCACTATGCCCAGCTAATTTTTTGATTTATTGTAGAGATGAGGTCTCACCAAGTTACCCAGGCTAGTCTCGAACCCCTGGGCTCAGGTAATCCTCTCACCTCGGCCTCCCAAAGTGCTGGAATTACAGGTATGAGCCACTGCATCCAGCTCAGTTGTACACTTTAAATGAACAAAATGTGTGCTTATGAAAATAATATCTCAACCAAGCTAAAAAAAAAAAAAAGAGCCACAGCAGTCCATGAGCCCTGTGCTATGTTGCCCCCACATGACAAGACAAGTCAGAGGCCAGGGGCTTGTTCTTCTGTGGCTCTGTACTGTCTCATTTTTTTCCCACAAGTAGTATAGATTGGATTTTTTTAAATTGCAGGTCAGGTGCAGTAGCTCACACCTGTAATCTCAGCACTTTGGAAGGTTGAGGTGGGAGGACAGTTTATGCCTAGAAATTTAAGACCAACCTGGGCAACATAGCAAGACCTCATCTCTACAAAAACTTAAGAAAATTAGCCAGGTATAGTGGCATGTGCCTGTGGTTCCATTTGCTTGGGAGGCTGGTGCGGGAGGATTGCCTGAACCCAGGAGTGCCAGGCTACAGTGAGCTGTGATTGTGTGTGCTACTGCACTCTGGCCTGTGTGACAGAGCAAGACCCTGTCTCTAAAACACACGCAAACCCAATAACAACTGAAAAGGAAAACACAATTGGCTAAGGGAAAGCTGAAGTCCAAGGCCAGATAGGCTGGCTCCAGGAGACATGCATCTCGAGATGTTACCCAACACTCACCTTCTGGACTTGTTGCCTCCTTGAGTCTTGTGGTCAGACTTTGCCCTTTTCAGCTCTACCTTGGCTTCTGCCACCTGCTCTTTCTTTGCCTTGATCTGCAAAGGAAAGGAACCCAGGACCAAGGCCCACTGTCCACAGGCTGCCATCTTTAGTCTCTGAGCTGCCGCTAAGCTGGTCCTGACCTACTCTGTGGCTAGAGGATAGAGTGAGGCCAAGTGACCTCTAGGGCCCAAAGGTACCATCAGCTCCGGCCACAGAGACTGCTGCAGTGGCCCCTGAAGACCCCCTGCCCCACTGACATCCTTCCTGGACTAGAAGACAAAGGCTGTGTCCCACCAAAAATCAGAAGCAGTTCCAGGACAGCCTCAGTTCCTCCCTGAGGTGCTGGCTTCTCCACCAGGGCAGCTCTGGCCCACTAGGCACAGCCACCAGGGAGCTTCTCTGCTCCACTGTGCAGCCCCCACGCCCACACCCTCCATGCCCATCTGAGTGGCTCAGCTGGCCTGTGCTGAGGCAGCAGGGAAGGGGAGGAGGGATGGAGAGGGCGCGTGAGCTTGGCCAGGCGGGTGGGCTTTGAGGGACAGGTTGGGAGGTCTCCTGTGAGCTGCATACCTTTGTTTGGAGATTCTGCATTGACTTCTCGAAGGTCTTGGGAGTCGTTCGCTGATGATTACAGAGAATGGCCACAGCTCGGTTGGCTCGGTTGTAAGATAAGATCTTAGCAGCTACACTGTCCTCAGCTGAAAAAGACAATCTGTCAGAAGCAGCAGCTACAGTAACAACCTTCCCTCCCAACTGCCTGTTCTGAGCTGGCCTTTCTGAACTCACCACAAATTGGAGACCCTTCCACTCACAAGGACCTTGCTTGGATAGAGGAAACTCAAAGTCAAGGATCAATGACCCATTCAAGGTGGCCACACACACAGGGGCCAGCTGGTTCTAACCACAAAAACAATGACTCAGGGTGAAGCCGTGGCACTGGCAGCACAGTATGAGCCTTCTTCAGGCCTGAAGGCAAGAATGGTGAGTAGGTACCTTCCGTGTAAGGGGCTGGGCAGCAGCTGAGGCCAGGCGACCTCCGCCCTGCTGGTGGGAGCTGCAAGTGGAGCAGGTACCAGCAGGGCCCTGTCACTAGGCATCCTCACACTCCTTAGCAAGGATGAGTACTGACTATCTGTGCAGGTGAATCTGAGGATCCTTCTCTGCCACCAGTCCCCAGTGATAACACAGAAGCCCATTTCGGAACAATGTGCCAGTACCTTGCTTCGTCTGGCAATATCCCCATAAGTTACCACATTGCTTCCATTTTCCAATCAAGAAACTGAGGCTCTGAGAATTTAAGTACTAGTCCTAAGTGGCTGCTTGTCTTCACTCTCTTTTGCACCTGTTGATCCCAGATTAGGCAGCCATGTCCCCCTGGGCTTATAAACACATCTGCTGAAAAACGGGCCCATCCACCTTTGTTTTCTCTCCCAGGCCTGGCCTCAACCCCACTTCCCTGGGGTCTCCTGCCTCCTGCAGGTCGTTTCCTCTGTTGGGAGCTCCCAGCCTTGATGCCAGCAGGCTCCTCCACATCGCACGGCCAGGGTCTTTGCTCTGGAACCTGCCCCAGTGCTGCCCAGCTCCCTGAGAATGCCCTCAGAGCAGCACGGGCCCCACCTCTGAGGCCCACCATGAATACAAAACAGATGCCTAGATGTCAGTACACCATGGCTGCTTGGGGTGTGATGGGGGCACCCACTCCTGACCAGAGCTCCTGACCTGTCAGGCCTCAGCGTCTATTTGAGGAGGTCTTGGTTGGGGAGAGGGATGGGCAGAGGGGGAGAAAGGTGACGGACTCTAAGCAATGAGCTGGACTCAGAAGGGCTCTGTGTGAAAGGTCCACAAGTCTGATCTGCTCCCTGACATCATGAAGCAGAGGCACCACTGAGAGCAGAGGAAAGAGAGGCCCACAAAGAGCCCAGAGAGTATCCCTGGGTTGGCAGAAGAGGACAAGGTGTGAGGTCTTGAGGCTGAGACGGGGACAGAAGCCAGAGGTCAGGGAAGCCAGGGCAACCAGGGATGGGGAGGCAGAGGCCACTGGAAAGTGCAAAGGTTTGCTGGATCTTCAAGAACTGACTCTCAGCCGGGCTCGGTGGCTCAACCTGTAATCCCGCGCCTTGGGAGGCTGAGGTGAGTGGATTGCCTGAGCCCAAGGGTTCAAGACCCGCCTGGGCAACTTGGTGAGACCTCATCTCTACAATAAATCAAAAAATTAGCCGGGCATGGTAGCGCACGCCTGTAGTTCCGGCTACTTGGAAGGCTGAGGCAGAAGGATCGCCGGAGCCCAGCAGGTCGAGGCTGTAGTGGCCAGGAGCGGGCACTGCACTCCAGTCTGGGCAACAGAGTGAGACTCCCACTCAAAAAAGAAAAAAGAACTGACTCTCAGGAGGAGCACAGGAATAAAGTTGGGCCTAGGAAGGCAGGGCTGGGACCCGAATGCGGAACTGTAGAGGGAAGAAGATGCAGTCAAAAGAGCTGATCAGAAGAGGCCACACTGCAGGAAGCACAAGGCCAGGATGCCTGGTATCTCGAGGGCCACACTGACACCATTGCTCAGGTCAAATGGGTTACACTCCTTGTTTTGAGCCAGCAATCCTTCCTCCTTCCCTGAATTTCAGCCACAGACCATTCTTTCACCAACTGGGCAGCTGCGCAGCTAATCCACAACCTCAGCACATTTCCCTAGAACAGGGTCCTGTACCCATCAAATTCCAATCAACAGGTGACTCCTATGTCCCAGGGCATAAGGACACACTTCCCATCACTCAGTGTGTGGGTCTGAGGACATGGCTAGTGTGTGGCACTGAGGGAAGCATCAGAGGCTGAGGTCAGCATGTGGCCTCACCATGTGTTCAGCCTGCTCACCATGTGTCAGTGCCTGCAGCTGCTCCTGCAGAGTGACAGAGGCATTGTAGGTCCGGAATACCTTGGCCGTCAGTCCATCCATCAAGTCCTGAAGATGCCTGTTTAGGCTGGTAGTCTGGGGAGGAAATGGGTCTCTATAAATGTCACTTCACTGGGGACACTAGTTTCATTGGGTCATTCCCAGCTCTAGTAGGAAGGAAGGAAAGGGAATTTGAGCTGGTGGGTTAGAACAAGGCCACCCTGGGCCTTGCTGTGAAAGAGGCTCAGTGCCCGTGCTCTTTCCCTGGGTCCCACAACCACCAACTGCAGAACAAAATACCAACAGGCTTACAGTCAGTCTGTCAAAGAGGTCGTCCCCAGGGTCTTTGTTCTTCATAAACAGCTGTAAGTTCTTGTACACCTAAAAGAGAAAGAAGAATCTCAGCCCTAGAGACTTGTTTAGAAAGAACTCAAGACAAATGCAAACAGAAGAGGAAAGAAGCATCTTCTGAAGATGGAGGAAACAGGAATTAGTTAGGACCTGAAGGGGCATTTGCACTACTAGAACTTGGAAACCAGTGGCCAGTTTACCTTGAGGAAGGTGGTCTGAGCAACTTCAGGTTCACCCATCTGGCAGCTGGTGGCATCTTGACCTCACATGCCCCAGGCCCTCCAGTCACTGCTAACGCATTCACAGGCAGTGTGCTCCAGAGACTGGTGCCCAACTCTTGCCCCTACAAACCCAATGGACGACTACAGCAGGTAGTCTGGCCCCTGGCTACTTCTTCCATCAACACTGGACTTTCACCAGTGACCCCAAGTCCAGGGCCCCATGCTCATAACATGGTCAGACTCACCTGACATCACAGGGCCTCAAGACCTTTGGGGTCCCTGTGTCCAACCTTCTTCCACCAGTCACTTTTGGGAGAGGTCATTTCCTTCTGAAAGGACCAATCCTACAGTAAGGAAATTCCCAGCCTACACCTGTGCCTGCCTCTCCCTTTAGTTTTGTCCACCAGTCTTTCTAAAAAGGTAAAAGGTGGCCTCTCAGTTCACTGGGGCTGCTGCAGCCTCTGCACTACAATCGCCAGCACCAGCCTGGTGGCTTGTGCCTCACTGGGCTGGATGGCAGCCCTCTCACCACAGACATGCACGGAAGGCCTCACACCCTCACCTGATTCTCCCACCAGCTGATGGTGCTGCACTCAATGATCCCAATTCTACAAACTCACAAGGTCCACCTCCCAGAAGGCAGCCACAGAGCTAGGGTGTGCTGGGCAGGCTCTGCCTCCCCCGGCCCCGACTTCTGGCTTGTTTCCTCTTCCTTCCCCACATTTTGGTTTTGACAAGAGTTTATAACCTGCTTTCTTCATTACATCATATGCATTTTGTTACTACATATTCTTCCTGATATCACTTTAAATGGTCGCCTGATCCTCTGGACAGACGGGATCTCCCCTGTCCAGGCCCTTACTGGCTGCCAACACTTCACCCCAACAGGGACACTGCAGCGAATGCTCCCTTTGCCTTTTTCTTTCGTTTGTTGCTCTCAGCCGTGTATCTTCTATCGATTCATCCCTCAGGATAGATTTCCAGACTAGATCACCCTGAGGCCCAGCCTTGCTGGGGGCTCCTGGGTTGGGTCTGCCTGTCCCACAATAGCAGGCCTGCTTCCCTACTGCCCTCAACACCTTCCCATTTCCATTTTTGGGAGGCTCCATTCCATGACTAGGTCATATCTGTGCTTGTGAAATGCAGGTGGTTGGTGTGTGAATCTGTTCAACATTGCTGCAATATGGTGCCCAGCCAGACAAGGGATGCTGTCACTTTATAGTGTGGCCATTCCTAAAGATAAGGATGTTCCCCAAATTCTGATATGCCTTCATTTGAATTGATCTACAGACCACAAATTTAGCTCAACAATTCCAGACTGCATTCATCTACCTGTGCGTCAATACTGGCCAAGCAAAGAGCTGTGCTTGACCCATGCCCCACACTCTCACAGCAGAAGGGAGCAGGGACACGGTGGGAGTTCCGCAGTGGGCCAGGAGACCCTTCCCAGGTGGAGTGAATTGAACAGAGTTCCCTCAAAATTCATATCCTTACCAGAACCTCAGAACATGACCTTATTTGGGAAAAGGGTGTTTGCAGATGTAATTGTTAAGACAAGGTCATAGTAGAATAGAGTGGGCCCTAAATCCAATATGACACTGCCCTTATACGAAAAGAAGAAATGTGTAGAGAAGATGACCATGTGATGACAGAGCAGAGATTAGAATAATGCGGCCACAAGTCAAGGAAGTCTAGGATCCATGGCCTCACCAGAAGCTGGGGACACAAGGAACAATCCCACCCAGAGACTCAGAGGGACCTGGCTCTGCCAACACCTTGATCTCAAACTTCTGTCCTCCAGAACTGAGAGACAAAAAAGTGTCTTTTGTTTTAAACCAGTCAATTTGTGCCTTGTTCCAACAGCCCCCAACTCTTACCAAGTGAGCGGGAGATGAAGCTGCTCTACTACAAAGGCAGGTAGGTGCAGCTCAGTCCATTTTCTCATTCGCACGTAATTCCTTGTGTTCACCTCGGAGAAGAGCACTGAAGGGGCAGGACTCTTCTTCACCCTAGTTTGCCTCTCAGAGCATAGTAGACCTTACCCTCAGCAGATGGGATATGGCAAAAAGGCCATTGAACCCCCACCACACCCCAGAGAATATGCAGAGCTAATGCACAGGTCAAGCAAGGACAAGCAGCTGGGCCCAAGAGGACACTCACAGGCTTCTCCACTGGCACTCGGTTATAGTAGCGGATCGAGTCCTTCCCTAGGAAGTCGAGTTCCACAACGTGCTGATGGCCATCAGCCTCCAGGTGCAGCTGGACATGCTCCACGCGGAGGGAGCAACAGCCCACTGTGTCAGCCGCCTCACCTTCTTCCTTTTCATTTCCCGCTCTCAGTGCCAGCTAGTGGGGGAAAACCAGTCAGGATGTGTGGTGCATGCATACAACACACATGCATGCACACACCAACATGCACACACACACACATGCAGGCCCACCAGACTGAGGTTCCAGCCCCGCATACAGGCCCATGTCATCCCACCATGTTGTCCAACCAGGGCTGCATGCCTAGGGAAACAGAATGAAGAGCAGCCAAGAGAGGTGGTAAAACCATCCACACCTTATCAATGAAATAGAGGGCCACTGCTCGCTGTCTTTTCTTCATGTCTTGTGACTTCCAATCAGCCCGATACAGAGAGCGAATCTCATTCACAACCCCTTTCAATCGTCGAGCTATTTCATACTTCTGCCAATCTTTCTCGCCCTAAAGAAAGAAAATAAATACTAAAGAAAAAGAAAACTCTTCATATCCCTGTTAAATAACAGAGAAAGTTTTTGACTCTCCCTCCCCCCCACCTCACCCCACACTTCTATGCTTCATGTTGGTGGGGTCAGGAGCTAGGGGAGAGCAAATTCAACTTCAGTGACATTTGAAATTAATGTGTCTACTCCTGGTTTTAAGATGTGTGGCTGCTGGCGCAATGTGATTTCAGCCTTGGCTGGGGTGGGTAGGGCCTCTCCACACACCTCTCACATGCTTTCCATCACCCAGCATGACTGACAGGGCCACCCCCTGCCTGTCCCAACCAGGGCTTCCTGGAAGGAAACACTCCTCCAACCTCGCCCTCACCTTCAGCTTTGAGCTCGGGTTCAGCATGATGTACTTGATGGAGTTCTGGATGTTCTCCGTCCATGCCGCCAGCCATGTCACAGTGTTATCCGAGCGTACCTCCTTCCACTGGTGGCCCCCTGGTGGTTCAGGAATCTTTGAGTCCCTGAGGCAGAACAGTGATCCAAACATAACTTCAAGACTTTATTCTCTGAAATATGAGCAAAAGGAGCTTCGCTGGGCAACCACCCCAAGTGGTAGCCTTGGCGGTGACAAGGTTCCACATTGAGTCTGGCCTCAGGAATCGCCTGCCCAGTTGCACAGACCAAAAAGCAGTCATCCAACCTACCCCCTACACATTCATGAAGACCATAGTTGGACCAGAGTTGGCCACCCCAGCAAGGCATCCATTCGCTCAGCACAAAGATCTGCAGCTCTGATTTAGACCACTGCTGCCTCACTTTACACCAGCCCTGCCGTTGGGGGCACACAGGCAGGGCTGCTATTCGACACTGTGGTCATAAAGTGACACAGTAGTACCAACACAATTGTGTAATCCACTTTCTAGTAGTTGAAGCCTTCTTCTGATAGGTTTAAGACACTGACATGCTATTAGACTATCTGGATAATATGGAATAGGAAAAAATGGATTTTTGATCCTGCAGAAGTATCCTGTGAAGAGCATCCTACCCTCCCCCAACCAGGCACTGCCTGCCACACCCACTGGCTCAGAGCTCACAGCAGGAAAAGTACGTGGAGTTACCAATTACATGTTTGTGCCTCACTCTCCAAGAAAGAGCTGAAGAACAAGGACAGCCTCGCCCAGGTGGTCAGCATCTACCACTTGCAGTTGGTCTGCCCGGTCCAGTCATCTTCCCCACACACCTGCTGCAGTTGATGATCACATCCTCTGGCATGACTCTCCTCTTCAACATCCCCATCTTGGGATGGTCACCACGGCCACGGAACAATCCGGGTGGCTCGGTCTTGAAATTGCCTATTTTTTCTCGGTGACCATCTAGAATACAGTAGCCAAACTCTTGCTGAAGTTTTTCTGCCTCTTCTTTCAGTTTCTAAGTCAATAAAATAGTAAGTAGACATTAGCAGTGAATAAAACAGAACAAATGTAAATTCCCTATAGCTCACCTGGGATATACCCCACTTCTGCTAATTTAGCTGGATTCCTCAAAGGCCTTCACTCTCCGTGAAGGTCTGAGGGTTGTGAAGTGAGGCAGTGCAGGTATGCATGCAGGGGAGTACAGAGCTCCACAGCCTGACCCCCTCCTAAGCACTGACTCTTCCACCTCTGCAGCTTGTCTCCCCCAACCCCTGCACAGGCTTCAGCTGTTTTAGACACGAGTTGTAAAGCCAAGCCAGGCAGAGGGAGCATGGCAGCCCCACATCTAGGAGGAAAGCTAAGGTCGTTTCTGGAATAAAACCGAATTCCCATGCAACTATTAACTGAGAAGAAAGACTGCCCTTCCCTAGAGTCCCTGCGAAGTTGATATTAAAGCAATAATAGCATAGTAGGTTTCTGAATAGCATGGTAGGGCAGATGTACAGTATGGTGTGAAGCTGACTGTGCTGCGCAAGTCCTGCCCCCAGCCCACAGGCTTGATCAAGACTCCACCTTGAACACTGATGGCTAAGTTGCTTGTCCTAGTATTTCAAACAGAGGGCTATTTTCTTTTTTAAAATGTTTTTTATTTTTATTATAAAGATGTGAGGTACAATTCAGGATGAGGTATACAAACATTGATTATTCAGGTATCCTTGTTGATGAGGTATGCCCTTCCCTACCCTAGCAGTTTCCCTCAACTGCCAATCCCACCCCAAGTGGGCTTGTTTTCAAATGTGCTCTGCATAAGTGGAACATTTAAACACATGTAGATGCACATGACTTGAGCATGTCCAAGAGCTTGATGGCAGCACCACAGGGCCTCAACCACACTTTTCACAGGGACACGCGCGGAAAAGAACCCCACAAGGAGCAGTTTTGTGAGAAGGGGCTTCTCTAAGGCCATGGGACTTTCCTCAACCTTCAGGCCAGACTAGCCTCTCGTTCCTGGGGAGTCACTCAGAGGAAACCACCCACTGTGGGACACACAGTGCTAGGCAGCCTGACCTGTTTCTCCTCCCTGGGCAGAGCTTTCTGGGCTGTGGCTTTGTCCACAAAGTATCTGTGGATCTCTGTGAAGTCACACTTGTCCAAGTGCTTGATGACTTTTCTCTCTTCTACCGTCATTTCCTGCAACAAACCACAGAGATGCACACTCTCATCACATCTGATGGAGGCACACTTGCAAATGGACAGAATGTAGGTGTGGTCATACAGTAAGAGGAGCCTCTCCAGGCTGGGGGCCCACTCCACAAGAACAACGTTCCCATCAGGGGGACGGGTCTGGGCAGGGGGTGCCAAGGCCACCCGATCTGACTATCAGCCTCTAGCAGTCATCAGTGCTAGAGTGACCCAGGTGGAGAGAGGAAGGCTGAGGCCCTGGTGCTTCCTCCTAGAAGCTAGGCCATGGTGGCCTCACCTGGGAAAAGCCCTCTCCCAGACACCATGCAGAGTGGATATGCTGACACAGTGTGCTCAGGACTGATGTATATTGTTGAGATAATAGTGCAGTCACCCGCAGCACGCCTTGCAGGGTCCAAAAAACCCTGACATACATCCCCTGAGCTTCTGCACTCACAGGAAATGATGAAGACCCCTTGCTATCCCAAATGGCATTCTCTAATAAGCACTGAAATCCACAGTGAGGCCTCCTGTGCCCCACGCCACCCTCCAGGTACAATAGGTAGGAAGCAACACAGATCTCCTCTGGATAGAGCTCTCCCCTCAAAGACTCTCCACAGATAGAACCCCTCTCACTCACAGACCCTCTATGGATAGAGCACTTCTCCCACCCACAGACCCTCAGGGATAGATGCTCTTCCACTCACAACCCCTCACAGATAGAGCCCTTCCCTTCTGCAGACCCTGCCCCACAGATAGAGCCCCTCTCCCACCCACAGACCCCCACGGATAGCAATTCTCTCCCATCCACAACCCTTCACGAATGGAGACCATCTCACACCGTGGGAGACCCCCACCACGGAGAAAGCCCTCTTCTCACCCACAGACCATCCCCGCCCATACACAGAGCAGCATCTATTAGTACAGAGATGGGGCAGCCAAGGACACAACTCTCCAAAAGCAATTTCACAGCAATTTAATAATCAAAATGGCTAAAATCTTTGACCCAATAATTCCATTTTTGAGATCCTAAATAAATCCATTGTCAAAATAATGATGATGATTACAAAGGTAGGAACAACTGAATAAATGAAAAATAATCCAGAAAGAGATAAATACATTAGAGTGAACTCATTCAGTGGAATATCAATAAATTAGTAAGAAAAAAATCTTAGTTCATGTGTGCTCCTATAACAAAATACTTGAAACTGAGTAATTTATAAATAATAGAAATTTGCTTCTCATGGCTGAGGCTAGAAGTCCAAGATCAAAGTCCCAGCATTTGGTATCTGTTAAGGACTACTCTCTGCTTTCAAGATGGTGCCTTGAAGGCTGTATCTTTACATGGCAGGAGGGAGTGAAGAGCAAAAGGGGCCCAGCTAATTCCCTCCAATCCTTTCATGAGGCCCTAATCCCGATCCCATCTACAGAAGTGGAGCCTTCACAGTCTAATCATCTTCTAAAGGCCCCATTTCTTTTTTTTTTTTTTGAAAGCAGGATTTATTGAGAGGATAGAGAAACTCCCACAGTGGAAGGGGACCCGAAGGGATTGCCCGGCCCCACTTCTTAATAGTGTTGTACTGGGGATTCAATTTCAACATAAATTTTGGAGGAGACACAAACACTGATACCACAGGAGAAAATAGTATGATGTTATAAAGCAATATGGAAAAATAAACACGAGTATAACAAAATGATAAGTGGGGGAAAACACGTTATATGCATACTGATCACAATCATGTAAAAACTAACACCCATGAAAAGGCATAATATGGGAACATAAGACAATGACATGAGGGAATCATGGTAGAATTCCATGCAACAGGTTTTGTCCTCTAATTTCCTATGCCAAAAGGGGAAGGAAAAAAAAAAAAAAACCTTGTATAACCCTGTGGCCAAATCCCAGGCTTGTAGCCATCAGCCCATGGTGCAAAAGTCCAGGCTTGGCCACTGAGACACTGTGAGACCTCAGTAACTGATCACTAAGCCTGTATGTCACTGTGGGATGAAGATAATGATACCATTTTTTCTAGGGAGCTCAGGTGAGATACCACCTGTGAAGGGACAAAGTCCTGCTCAGTCACAATCACAGGGTCAGGATCTCTCCCTGTGCCTTGCCAGGTACCATCATGTCTATCATTATTCATGTTCTGCCTGCCTTGCAACATTGCCTGCATGTCTGTGAATGATCAAAAGAGGTACTAAACAGAAAAAGAAGAATGAAGCCGGACAGCTAACTCTCTCTTACAAAACTGTAGTTATAAGGCAGGATGGTAATAAATCAAGACTGTGAAAGAGGGTCCACAACAACCCACACACAGGGGGACAGGGAAGTATAGCAGGTGGTGCTGGACAGTCAGACATGCAGATGCAAAAAGATAAACTTTGGCCCACACCTCAAACTGTAAACCAAAATTAACTCAGATGTCAGACCTAAATCAAACAGATCTCAACATAAAACCTAAAACTGTGGAATTTCTAGGGAAAAAAACCCAGAAAATAGTTATGACCTTGGATTATGCAAATATTTCCTAGACATAACTCCAAAAGCACAATCCATAACAAAAAATAATACATCAATATTAATAACTTCTGACCTTCCAAAGACATTGTTAAGAGAATAAAAGTATAGGCCACAGATGAGCTGAAAATGTTTTGCAAATCGTTATTTCTGATAATGAACTTAAATAGGACACAAAAATATTAATCATACTAGAAAAAGTCTGATAAACTGAATCATTGATATGTTAAAATTTTCTGTTCAAAGACCTCACCGAGAAAGTGAAAAGGCAAATGAAGTCTGAGAAACAATATTCACAGCATATATATGTATCAAGGAACTTCTATCTAGAACATATCTTTAAAACTCCTATAATTAGTAAGGAATTAAACTCAATTTTTTAAATGAACAAAAATTCACAAAAGAAAGAAATGTCCATGGTAGTTCCATATATGAAGGCCAAAAACTAGAAATAAACAAGTGCCCAAGAACAGGAAAATGGACAAATAGACAGCATACAGGTATTTAACATAAGAAATACTACCCAGTAATAGTCAGGAAGACACTGGTGGTACAAGCAACCCAGGGATGAAATTTGCAAGTATCATTCTGAAAGAAACCCTGGGAAGGTGCACAGCATTCACATAGGTATACATGCATAAAACTCAATCAAGTTGTAGGTGAAGATCAGCCCAGACTCATATGACTCAACTTTTAAAAATGAAAAAGTCCAGGCACAATAGCTCATGCCTGTAATGCCAACATGGAGGCTGAGGCAAGAGGATCACTTGTGGTCAGAAACTCAAGACCAGCCTGGGTAACATAGTGAGACCCCATTTTTACAAAAAATACAAAAAATTAGCGGGACATGGGGGCACACGTCTGTAGCTCCAGTTACTCCGAAGGCTGAAGCAGGAGCATTGCTTGAGCCCAGAAATTCAAGGCTGCAGTGAGCTATGATCACACCACTGTACTCCAGCTTGGGCAACAAAGCAAAACCCTATATAAAATAAAACAGAATAAAATAAAATAGAGCACTCAGGCTATACTGAGAAAATACAGCAGCCACTGAGAGCTTGCAAAGGCCACCCAGAGGCAGGACTGTAGGCCTGCAGGGGCCTGGCCAGCTTGACTGCCAGGACCACCCATGGCACATACCTTTCTCCAGTCACTGAAGAAGTTATTCTGGAAAACTTCCTTTGTTGTATATTCATGATCCAACATTTTCCCATAAAAAGTGGCAACCTCCTCAGCTGCCATGCTCAACTTCATGGGCTTTCCTGCAGACATCAAAAGACACACTGGTTTAGGGAGCAGCCACACTCTTGTCCTCAAGTTGACATACTCCCAGTACTTTAAATTATACTTTAGTATGTGCCTGGTGCAGCATGGAGCGCTCAATAAGGCCCTATGGTTTCTTGTGGGCAGACAGACTTTAAAAGCACAGCAAGCAAGAGTCTCTGTCCTCATGGAAGTTACAGACTAGCTTGAAGAAACAGATTTTGAACCAAAAATTACATCAAGGGAGTTAAGTAAATGCAAGTGTGTGGGAAACCCAGCAGGGGGTCCACAGAGAGGTCACAGGATCCTCCAGGAGATAAGTGCTCCAAAGGAGGACAGCATGAGGAGGACAGCATGCCAACAGTCCAGGAAAGCTCAGCAAAGGGACAATGCAGGAAGGGGTAGAGAATCGTGGCCAAGAATGGCCATGGAAACCTGTGTAGGCAGCACTACACAGGTGTGGCTGACTCTGGGGAAGAGGAGGCTCGCGTTCTGGGGGAAGAATCCCTTCTCACAGAGATGCAAAAAATGGGATGAAACAGCTAAAATTAGCAGCATAAGACCCAAGCAGAAGTTCTTCAGAACTGGGGTGGAGAGGGTGAGGTCCCAAGGGTTGTAAGAGATAGGTGGGCACCTGTGGATCCTGGAGCCCCCAGAGGTCTCGACTCTGAAGATGGTTCTGCACTCACGTAAACAATCGGTTCAATTTCTCATTAAGAAAAACAAACTGAGCCGGGCTCGGTGGCTCAGCCTGTAATCCCGTGCCTTTGGGAGCCCGCGGGTTCGAGACCCGCCTGGGCAGCGAGACCTCATCTCTACAATAAATCAAAAAATCAGCCGGGCGTGGAAGCGCATGCCTGTAATTCCAGCTACTTGGAAGGCTGAGGTGGAAGGATCGCCGGGGCCCAGCAGGTCGAGGCTGCGGTGGCCGGAAGCGGCCACTGCACTCCAGTCTGCGTGACAGAGTGAGACTCCAACTCAAAAAAAAAAAAAAAGAAAAAGAAAAACAAACTGGAACCAAGTAGTGTGTGTGTGGGGGTGTGTGTATGGATATATATATGGTATATGTACCACTTATAATTAAAACACACAGGGAATACAGAGAGAAATCCCTCACACAGAGGTGAGTCCTGGTCACAACCGTACATAGCCAATGCAGACTCGGGAAAGCCACAAGAGGCACAGTATGAAAAAGCAGGAGGAAGGGAGCCACAGGGGTCCAGCTGGGTAGGAAGGTGGTACACTTCCTCGAGGCACTGGTCATTTATACCCGATGAGGAATGTTGCAGTGGGATCTGAGGGAGTAAGCCCAGATGTCAACCCAGGGAGCCCACACCCAGGGAGGGAGACAGGGAAGCTACACAGGCAGACCACAGGCAGTAGGGACGGCTGCTCGCTTGCGTCCTCACCATCATAGAAGAAATGCACTCCATCAGGAAGGGGTTCATACGGGGGGGCAAAATATGGGCCCCTGTGCTCCAGCTGTCTCCACTTCACTCCGTCTTTGTGCTTCTCCTCTTCCCACCTAAAGAGACCAAGACATGAACGCGTCACTCTTGTGGGCACTGACAACACAGGCCAGGCCCAGTTAAGTCTTTTCCGCTTTCTCCCACATTGCTTCCTCCCTGTGGCTCCTCACAGGTGGACACTGTGGCCTCCACTGTATAGGGGAGGAAAACAAGGCCTAAAGAACAAGGCGAGAGGCAGATAGGTAGTCATCCTGCTGGGGCATGCCATCCAGCTGAGATGTGAACCTGTCAGATCTCAGACCGCCACATCTGTGTACAACACCTCCCTACCTGAACTGGGCAGGTGTGCTGCTGAATCGCCAACTCAAGTGACCTCGGCTGAGTAGGAAAGGGCTAAGGAATACTCCTCTCCAAAACTCAAGGGCCTCACCAGTTGGGTCCCTTCAGAAATAGCCTAGAATCCTCCACAATTTTTCCACTGGACCATTCCATTTTAAATAAAAGGTCTGGCTGACTACTGGAGAGCCCCCACCTCTAAAGGAGCTGAGTTGAGAGGGGAGACAGGCAGTGCAGGCCATGAGGAGGTGGCACCACAGCAGGGCACATGACTGCTGCCCCAGAGAGAAATGGGGCAAGGATGGGGAGACTGAGTGCAGGGAGAGCTGGTCCAGGGGCAGGAAGTCTAAGGGGCTTTTCAGGAAAGGGCTCTTTGTTGGGTATGGGGGATGACTTGTAAGGCACCAACACAATGCACCCCCATTTGGCTCCCTACCAAGGTCCCTCTATCCCAGTTTGTCCCCAGATCTTCTTATCTCCAGGGCATCCTTTCTCAGGCAAGCCCAGTTCTGGACACAAAGAGTTATGGTCCAGTGTGGCAGCTTCAGCCCATCCTAATTCCATGTGAGTCATCATTTATTCATCTGGGCTTCAGAGGTCTCCCAAGTCTCCCAATGGTCTGCCCTGAGCCAGCACTACACTAGGTCCTGGGGACACACAGATAACCAAGGAAACCCAGGAAGGACAAGCTGACTTCAGATACTGAGATGTACCTAAGAGAAGATTTTTTTTAAAAAGGGACGAGGCTTGGCTGGTGGGGGGGTAGACAGAACTCTCAACAGGGCTGAGAGAAGAGCAAGTCCAGCACATGGGATGGCAAATACAAAGGCCTCAGTGGGAGAGGCTTTGGTGGGGGCGGGGGTTGGAACATACCAACAGGTGAGTGGCAGACCAGTAGAGGAGGCAGGAGAGCACAACGAACACTCCTCCTGAGGCCTGCCCGAGCCCCCCCACAGCCCAAAGACAAAAAGACTAGACTTCCCAGATCACACACCAGGGTTTGCCAGAGCCAGGAGACCCACACTCAACCCTTGGTCAGGCAGCTCCATGGTGGGCTTGGTCGACTGGGATGAGTATCCTAAAAGCATCAGGAAGTCTCTGAAGAGTTTGAAAAGGGAAGGATGCATCTATTTCTACAGAGAAGGGGACTAGGCAGAGTTAGAAGGAGCAGGGGGAGTGAGATTTGGACAGAGCTGATAAACTGAGAAGCTGAGCTGATTCTAGGGTGGAATCAAGAGGCTCTGGTGACTGAATGCATGATGTGTATAGGTGGTGAGGGAAATAGGGAGGGGGAAGGGAGGGGAGGGAAGAGCCCTGAGCTACAGGACATATATCAGGTTTATCCTGAAGCAGGATACTGTAGGGGGAGGGTCATATGAATAAAAGGCAGGAGGGAGCAGGAGAGCAAGAAAAGCCTCTGCTGATTCTGGGGAGGAGGTTTTCATCTGTCACGTGAGAACATCCCCACCTATCTTACAGGTTTGAGGACATTTAATAACTCTGATTGCCCTATTCCAGAATGTCTAGAACAGGGCTGATGGTAGGACATACCACTAAGTACTACAAAGAATGCAAACTAAGACAAAGCTTTCTTATAGAATTGATGGAAGATGAGTCTGTTTCAGGTATGAGAAATGTAAAACTGACAGTAACTCTGACTGCCTAATTCTTCACTAAAGTCTCCTGGGTAGTCACACCATCATTCCATTTCACAGATGAGACCATAGAGGTCAAGATCAATTTGCTGGTCAGCAGGCAAGCAAGGTTGTAGAGCTGGGTTTGTGATCCAGCCTGTTGAGGCATTCAGTAAAGCACTGCACATCAGAATGACAATTTTTTGTTCCTTCAGAGGCCTCCAGCACCAAGAAGTATCATCAGAAGCAAGCTGCTTTCAAAGGGAATTCTTGCTCCAAATCTACTCATCGACAACTGGGCAACTGCAATGCAACAGTTCTTTTGGAAAGCACCTGCCTGTGCACTACCAAGAGATGTGCCCCAGCAAAGGGGCCTGCAGCCAGCCCCAGATCCATACGCAGGCCAGAGCTCTCTCCTACCAGGATGTGCTCCACCCACTTGGGCTCTCTTGGGTCCTGAGCTGGGGATGGGGCAAGCAGAGTATTTCTGCAGCATGGACTTGGGCGACTGTCTGACCCCTTGGCTATAAATGGATGTGCGATAGTACATGGACAGCCCACAAGAGACACCATACTGTAAGTACTAAGTTAGCGACAATCGATAAATGGAGAGAACAGGCAGCAGGAACTCCTACAGGACTGCCATATGCAGGAGATGAGGCTGTAAACCCTCCCACTCTTTGGAAACATACAGTATTTCATGTGCAGAGTCCCAGTCCTGTGCAGCTAACCCAGTCCCAGTACATGCCAGCAGGACCTCCCTTTTGTGTTTCCCAGGAAGGCACTTGGGACCACCAATGGCTACTGTGGCTACTGTATCCAGGTGACACATGCCCAAAGATGCAGACAGATGACAGTAAATGCCCTGTATTCATGCAGAGCTGGTCCTGGAAATAACCCAGGAACCTGAGAACCCAGACTCCAGGAAAGAGTACGTCTCAGAAGACCACACATAGCAACATAAGCTTTTTCTAAATACTACAGTGTCAGGCCCAGGCACAGTCACATGATGATGAAACACACCAAACCCAAAAAAAGGTGGGCGGGTAAGTACCTGGGGTAGAGGCACAGGTGAGGTCAGGGTGGAGCTTGTACACCCTGGGCTAGAAGCTGGTTCAAGGGATAGGGAAGGTCATTAATTACACAGCTGCACTTGTCCCCTAAGATCACCTGGCCTGACTTTGGGAGGGGAGTGGAACTGAAAAAGCCTAAGGCCTTCCCACCGGGCCTGGCAGCCACCTTCTGAATCTAACCCGGCCTGGCCCACAGCTCAGGGCCCCTACCGCCGACTCACCCGGCCACCTTACCCGGCTCCGCTGCCCTTCTGTGTACTGCGTGGGCCCAGGGAGCCCCGGGAGGCTGGGCGGCAGGAGGAGTCCCCTAACAGCACGCGCACTGCCTGGAGCCGCAGCAGTTGAAACGCAAGCATCAGCCATGCGCACAAGCCTCGCGGACATTCAGAGTCAGGAGACAACGCGCTGGGTCCCGCCCCTAGACCCGCCCTTGAGGGCCCCACCCCCTAGACCCGCCCCCGAGCACAAACTCCGCCCCCAGTAGGCGGCTAACGGTGCCTGACTGCTGAGCAGAGGCCGGAGGTCTGGCCTGGCCACACCAAGCATCCCTAGTGACGCAAAGACTGGGTGGCCCCTGGCCTTCTGTACGCAGCAGAGCCATGTCCAATCCTGCTGGCCGCCCCTTGGTTTCCCTGCACTCGTGGTCAGCGACCCCCAACGCTGGGGACAGGGACCTAGATCCACATCCAGTCCAGGGCTTACCTCTTTGGCCCAAGGCTGCCCATTAGGATGCCCCCCGCTGGTCACATAACCAGTCCAGTGGGCTCCTGCCCAGGACCTGCACACAGCAAGTGCTCACCATTGCACTGATCTCTCCCCAGAGCCTACCAGGGCAGGGGCACCTGGCAGGTCCTTCCTAAGTACATGCTCCTTTGCAAACCTCTGGAGAAGGACACCTAATACTATGGGAGGGCCCTACCTCACCAAGTACAACTGAAGCAGCAGCACATGCCAAATACCAGTACTTTCAGGAGGACACAGAAGGAGGACACAGAAACACCTGCTATCCAGCCCAATGCAGTCCCCAAAAGAGGAGGGGCCTCTGGCAAAGACCACTAGAACTCCTACAAAATCATCACTGCCCCTCACCCAAGAAGACCAAAGACCACTGGCAACTGGAGCCTCCTTCCCCACACTCAAGGACCCCACAGTGACCCCACAAGAGTCTGACCCAGCATCCTCACTGGGCAGCATGGTCAAAGCTGCAAAACCTCTAGATTAGCACTTGGCATCTGGCCCTCAACCAGCAGCAGGCCACACTGCTCAACCTCTTGTAATTGTGCAGCCTTGATCTTTGACTGCAAAATGCAGAAACCAGGACAGCAGGAAGTAGATGAACTCACACACATCCTCACCTTCGATGTGACTGCCTGGTGGAAATGCAGTAGAGACAAACAGGGAGGGAGCCTGGGACAGCATACCCTCAGTGACCCTACCACTGATATCCAACTAACTCAGTTTCCACTGATATCTAGCGACTGGAAGCCGTGAGCAGAGGCCATGGGCTGCACTTGCCGGCTCTCAGGTCCCAAGTGGATCTTGCAGGTGTCCCATCATTTCAGAAAGAGCAACTCGGTGCTGATGATGGACACATACCAGGACGGCAGTAGCTAACTCTCTGGGCAGCCCATCTCCTACCAGCTGTTGCTGGTAGGAGGTATTATTTCACACAATATTTTCCACAAACCATAAAGAAAGTTCTAGCACAACCCTGCTGTTCCTTCAACAGAATCCTGAGGCCAGTGTGTTTTCCAATTCAGATTCCTCGGGTTTTGTGAAAGGAATAAAAACCCTAAGATCACTCAACAGATCTGACAAATCCACCACTCTTTCACAACAACCAACCAAACCAAACAAAAAACCCACTCAAGAGAGTAGGAATAGAAGAAAACTTCCTCAAACTGATAAAAGACATCTACAAAAACTCCACAGGTAACCTAATATGCAATGGTGGCTGAATGTTTCCCAATTAGATCAGGAGCAAGACAAGGATGTTCACTCTCACCACTGCTATTCAACACTGTAGTGGAGGTTCTAACCAGGGCAAACAGGCAAGTAAATGAAATAAAAGGCATTCAGATTAGAAAGAAAGATATATAATACCTCTTTTTGCAGGTGGCATGATACTGCATACAAAAATTTTTTTTAAATACACAAAAACTATTAGAGTTCATAGATGAATTCAGCAGTTGCAGGGTACAAGATCAATATACAAGTTGTATTTCAAATCAGTAGCAGTGAGCAAACAAAAGGAAATTAAGTAAACAATTCAATTTACAATGGCATCATAAAAAATAAAATACCAAGCAATACATTTAATAAAAGAAGCACAAAATCTGTACTCTGAAAACTGCAAAACATTGTTGAAAGATGTTAAAGACAGCCTAAATAAATGAACAATCATCCCGTGTTCATATATTGGAAGATTTCATACGGGTGAGACAGCAGTACTCCCCAAATTGATCTAAAAATTCAACACAATCCCACCAAAATCTCAGCTGACTTTTGTGCAGAAATTGACAATCTGATCCTAAAATGTACGAGGAAATAAAAGGGACCCAGAATGGCCAAAATAATCTTGAAAAAGAAGAACAAATTGGAGGATTCACACTTCCCCATTTCAAAACTTAATATAAAGCTCTATAGTAATCAAAACAGTGTGGCATTGGCATAAAGATAAACATACAGATCTATGCAGTTGAATAAGAGTTCAGAAGTAATCCACACATCTATGGCCAACTGATTTCAACAAGGTCACTCAATGGGGAAAGAATAGTCTTTCAACAAGCGATGCTGGGCTATCCACATGCAAAGAACAAAGTTAGACCTCTTTCTCATATCACACATAAATGTCAACCCAAAATGAATCAAAGATCTAAATGTAAGAGCTAAAACTATAAAACTCTTGAGGAAAAAAAAACAGGTATAAGTCCTTATGACCTTGAATCAGAGAAAATTTTTAATTACACAAAAAGCACAGGCAACCAAAAATAATACAGATAAACTGGCCTCATAAAAATAAAAAATGTCACCCAGGCTCGGTGGCTCAGCCTGTAATCCCGCGCTTTGGGAGGCTGAGGTGAGTGGACTGCCTGAGCCCGCAGGTTCGGGACCTGCCTGGGCAACTTGGCGAGACCTCATCTCTACAACAAATCAAAAAAATTAGCTGGGTGTGGTAGCGCGCCCTGTGCTTCCAGCTACTTAGAAGGCTGAGGCGGAAGGATCGCTGGAGCCCAGCAGGTCGAGGCTGCAGTGGCTGGGAGTGGCCACTGCACTCCAGTCTGGGCGACAGAGTGAGACTCCAACTCAAAAAAGAAAAACAAAAATAAAATAAAATAAAATAAAAAATGTCTCCACTTCAAAGGACACCATCAAGAAATCAAAATGGCAGCCCACAGAAAGGAAGAAAATGTTTCCAAATCACATCTGTAAGGGCTTGTGAGTACAACATGCAAAAAACTCTTGCAACAATTTAAAAAAATTTTAAATGAGTAAACAATTTAAATAAACATTCTGTAAAACATACCAAGTTCAATATACAGTCAAAATATGATATGCTTAAATAAAAATCATTGATGAAACTAAAAAAAATAGACATTTCTCCAAAGATATACAAATGGCCAATAATCCCATAAAAAGATGCTCAACATTATTAGCCATCACAGAAATGTAAGTGAAACCCACAATGACATCACTTCACACCTGAATAGCTGCAGTCAAAATGGTAGGGAAGGGGTAGGAGGCAAACTGATGGCTGGGGCACTACTGGGGCAGTCACGTGGACCAGGAAGGGTTTCTATGAACTGTCTACTGACAGGGGTTTGTGGCCTCCTCCCCTTTGCCCTCTTCCTCCCCAGACCACTGGGGTTGTGCAGAGAAGGGGGACATGGGCTTTACATTCTCCTCCTACTCAACAGCAAGTCCTTGCAGCAGGCAGGAGGACTCCCATTTTGCATAAAAGAAATCAGGCTTAGAAAATTTAAGTCGTGTTCCCAGAATCAAACAGCTGCTGCATGTGGAAACTAATACCCCATAATGACCCTTGTGACCCCAGAGCCCACAGCTCCAGGGCTGTGCAGGGACTGTTGACAGGGTGTGAGGCAGTGCCACCCAGCAGATAAGGGAAGCAGGCCACCAGCGCAGTTTACACTATCCAGAAGCCGCACTGCAAAAAAGAGAGGTGAATTGAATTTTCATAATATACTTAATTTCAACCAATTATTTCAAACAAAATATTATCACTTCAACAAAATACATTGAGACAGTTCACATCTTTTTTCTCATACTAGGTGTGTGTATCACACCTACAGCATGCCTCCACTGGGATAGCTATACAACTCATAGCTGCATTTGGGACAGAGCAGGGGTGAGTGACAGCTACAATTATAGTGTGGCCAGAGTCCAATGTCTGTCCCCTACTACCTGTGGCTGTGTGACCCTGGGCAAGTTAGTTAACTCTCTGTACCTCAGTTTCCTCATCTGAAAAATGGAGAAACTAGTACCTAGCTCACAATAGACTGACTAAAAGCAATCCCAGACACAATGAACACTTCCTAACTGCTGTCACTAGTACCCCAGAACATCTACAAGCAAGAATGCATTCTGGATTGCACTCCAGCCTCCTTTGCAGCCCACAGTGGGAGGGCAGTGGCTGGAGCTGTGTCTACACACCATTCTTACCCTCCATCCACTGGAAGAAAGCAGCCCAGCAGTCACCCAGTTGCCCAGGGAGAGAGGGAGAAGAGACTGGGTGAGGGTGAGGATGAGGATGAGGATGAGGGTGGGGGTGGGGTGGGGGTGGAGGTGGGAGAGAGAGGGATGTACCATTTCCACCTGTTGGCTTCTTCCTTCTTCTCCTGCTCTTTCTTGTTCTTCTGTGGTTTAGGTGCCTCCTGGCCATTTTTCTTTTCTTTCCCTCTGGACACCCCAGCATCAACTGGCTGCTCCTCCTTCAGCTTCTTTCTGTTTCTGGCCTGCTTCATACTACCCTGAGCTTTCTCTTCTTGGGGCTTCACTGGTGCCCCTCTCTCCTGGTCACCCTTTGCTGAATGGCACTGCCCTGCTGCTGGTTCTGCTGCTGTGCCCAGCTCACTCCCACACTGTGCTTCTCTCTCTTTCATCTGGTCATCTTCCTGGAGGTCTTTATCTTCTAATTTTTGTTTCTTTGGTTTTCGAGCCCTTTCTACCCCAGCTTTCTCTGCCTTCCATTTTTCTCTTTTGGAAACCAAAGTCTCTGATTTGGACTTGCTATTGTGTGTCTCCTCTCTCACCTTTTTGCTACAACCTGATTTTTCATTTTCTTCTTTCTTGATCTTTTTAACCCACATTTCTTTTCCCTTCCTGTCCTTAGTTTGGG